TGCTGGGAATACAAACCTGTATAGCCACTATGGAAATCAATACGGCACTTCCTCAGATAATTTTTAATCTTTCTACCTCAAGACTCAGCTATACCACTGTGGTAGTATGAATATAGTTGGCTCCCATTATCACATAGGGCATGGAAGTAGTGGGAGATGTGGCTATTTTGGTGTGGGCATGGCTTTGTCAGAGGAAGTGTGTCAGATAACTTCCTGTTGCTTGAGTCAAGATCAAAATATTCTAGGCTCCAACATTACATCTGGCTGCCTGCTTACAAGCTCCCAGTCATGATAATAGTTGGCTGAATCTCTGAAATTGTAAGTGAGCCACTTTAATAAAATGTTTTCATTATAAGAGTTTGAGTAGTCTAAGTGTCTCTTTATGTCAATAAAATCCTAACTAAAACCAAAGTTGGTCCCAGGCACCAACTGCTGTTCTAGGCCTGCCCATACTTTTGTTTGGAATAATATGGACTTTGGGACTTTGGCTTGTGAAAAGCTTTAAATGCATTAAGATCTGCATACTAGACCATACTAAGAGGAGCAAGGGTAACAGTGACCTTGATAATGATGTGAAATATCAGGAGCCAGCTCAGGATGTTTCAGTTAGGATTTTAGTATGTTGCCTAGAAATTATTATTGTGATATTTTGTTGTAGAAAATGACTGCATTCTGCCTTCGATCAAAGAATCTGCTTGAGGCTAAAGTAAAATATTTTTGTTAATTCCATTGGCCAAAGAAATCTCAAAAGAGTCTAGGATAGACTCTGTCATAAGGATATTAGTGTTAACTCTACTGAAAATATAGAATGTAAGGAGCAGCTGAGCAAGGAAAAATACTTGGGACAAAAAAGGGGCCCTTAAAAGTGGAATGTTGCTAAATTTGCTGTTCAAGGACATAAAATGATTAAGAAAGATAATAAAGGAAGTGGTGATAAGGTAGTGTTTTCAAGAGCCTTCAATCCTACCACACAGAAAAGAGAGGAAGACTTATCTTTGTGAATGCAAGGCCATCCTGGTCTACCTAGTAATTTTCAGGACAGCCAAACTTAGGCAGTGAAAAAAGAAAGCTGGAAAATATGTAATTAAACTTAGGGCCATGTTCTAGCCCATTAAACAGGAGAACCTTACACCTTTGGTCATGTGGTTCTGGCTTAAGTCTTAAGGAAAGGAGAAATATGTTTAGATTCTCCAGTTCTGGGTAGCTGGGCCTGGAGTATCAGCTGTGATGAGAAAGTTCTCAGAAGCATATAAGTGAAATTTTGCTTTGCTGGGTACTTGATACTGGTTGGCTTGAACTAAGAAATCAGTGATAATTAAGGGACCCTCATCACTAATGTGAAAATGTCTGGGAAGTGTTTTATAAGAGCACACAGAAGCTGTCTTCCAGAGGTAGCCACGTTTGTACCTCATGCTGGTAGATGGAGTTTGTAATGTGTCTCACCCAGGTGGTATTGGTTTTGAAGGTATTGATGGATGTAAGACATGGCACTGTGAGGCCAGGAGAGGACATCACTGAAGGTGCAGTCTCAATGACAGTTGAATACCCAAGACTGTAAGGGTCATGCCAAGAGGTGCGGCTCCCTGAGGTGATTCTATGAGAAACTACTGGTGAAAGTGAAACTCAGTTGAAACAGAAGACCCCAGTGTTTTGGAGAGGCCAGCACTGTGAAATGACCATCAAAACAGTAGTGACAGTGGAACTGAGCCAGCCAGAGTCTAGAAGACCAGGTGTGTGCACTGCAGAGGGCAGAGTCAGTGTATTGACCCAAAACCAATGGAAAATTACAGAAGATCTTGAGTGGATTTTAATATTGGAAGTTTGCAATTCTTTAATTACCCAAGATGTTACAGATCCCAGGGTCATAGGTTACTTGCCAAGGATAGCTACTAATGGGGAATGGAACCAGCCCAAGAAACAGAAGTGTGCTGCTCTCAACACAGCTGAACAGGATTGGAGAACTGGAAAGCTAATGGTCATGGAATTAGGTATCATTACATTGGCTGTTTTTCTTTATTGTTACTTGTATTTGATTCCACCTAGTTCTCTGAGCCATCCAGCTTCCGGATCCTGCCCATCTAGTTGGGCCAGTCTTTGGTTAGCCACTACACAAATCTTGAGCCACCATTTTCCTGATATGTCATTCAAACACAACAAGTGTATGTCAAATATTTTTTGGATGGCTTGGTTTCCTAGTCCCACCACTGGGAACCATATATGATTCCAGAAGCTAGCCAGTGCAGGCTCCATGTTTCTGAGTTATAGGGAGTCCTCACTATAATCACCCTCAAAGATTGCAGAAAGTTGTTACTGTACTGTTTCAACATCAACCCTTGAAAGCTTTCCTATTCTAGTAATTTTTTTCAGTGTTTTCCCCTCCATACCTCCATTGACTCCCATGATCCTTCCTGTTCTTGCTGTGAGTACACCCACAAAATCTAGTCAATTTAAATTTCCTGTTTGGGATCCATGCACCGTTGCTACAGGCATCTTTGACACTTACCTATCTGGGTCTGTGGATTGTACTGTAATTAGTCTTTACTCAACAGCTAATATCCACTTACAATGAGTATACATCATGTTTGTCTATGAAGTTTGGGTTTACTTGCTCAGAAGCAAAGAACTCAAGAAGCAACACATCAAGAAATAAATTAATTAAATAAACTTATGGTACAGATTTAAACAAGGAGTTCTAAATAGATGAATCTAAACTGTCTTAGAAACACTTCACTAAATGTTCAATTAACTTAGCCATCAATCAAATGTACATCAAAAGAGCTTTTATAATTCACCTTATACCTGTCAGAGTAGGTAGGTTCAATAACACAAGAGACAACTAATGCTGGCAAGGATGTTGAGTAAGGAGAACATTCTCCATTACTGCTGGGAATACAAACCTGTATAGCCACTATGACAGTTCTTCAGATAATTGGTAGTCTATCTACCTTAAGACTCAGATAAACCACTCTGGTAGTTTGAATGTAGTTAGACCCAATAATCTCCTAGGATGTGGCACTATTAGGTGTGGCTTTATTGGGCTGGGTTATGTCCAAGTCAATCAATATCATGATTGTAATAAGAGATTCACATTGAAACACTTCAGGAACTGTTCCAGCCTATGACAATCATTGACATTAGACTAAATATTTTTTTATCATAAGATGACTATGAATATCTATGGATCAGGGTCAGAATGTAGTTGAATGAAGGAAAAGGTCCCAGATTAGAAGCTGTTGAACACTTGTCTCTCCAGGGTGCTCTTTTTTGTTGTATTTGTGGACCATTTAGTGGGAGAAAACTTTTGGATGAAATTCCCATATTGGGGATTGGATTTCTGTTTTTATAGCCTCAACCCATCTCTGGTTATGTGAGTCCTGCTGTTATGACTTCACCACCATTATAGATGTTATCACTAATGACAAAAGGTGCAGTTGAAGCAATTTCTGTTCACTCTTAAGCCTTTCGCTATCCTGATTTCTATTTTAATTCTTTGTTTTTACTTTTGTTTTTGAAAGACAATGTTTTTCTGTGTAGCTCTGGGTCCTGAATGTAGCTCCTTAGACCATGCTGTCCTCAACTCAGAAATACAAATGATCCTGGTTTCTGCACAGAGGGATTAATGGTGAAGCAACATACATTTTGTGTTTGTGTGTGTGTGTATTGTTTCATTGTCTGATGAGCATGGAATGTAGGTTTTTGTACATTTCAATGGCAAGTTTCTATACCGAACTTTACCTACATCTTGAAATTTGAAGTTTGGTGGAGGGTATCATTCTCTTTCCCAGGAGAGTAGTATCCATGACATCAATACCTCTGCCTTCTGAATCACTGCACTGCAGGGGCGTGACTTTCTACCTACATCTAATTTTTTTTTATTTGAATGCTTTCTATGAATTTGAGGTTGTATCTATATACAAGGGTCTCTACCACATGTGTGCCTGTTCCTCATGGTAGGCATAAGAGGCCTCAGAACCTATGAAGTTGAATAATGGATAATTACAAGCCCCCTATTAGTCCTGGCAATTGTGCCCACTTATCTGCAAGGGCAACAAGTCCTCTTAATTGCTGACCCAGTTCCCTTACTGTATGTTATTTATGATCATCATTTGCAGGGCTGATGTTTTCTTCGTTCCATTTGTAACTGTTAAACATGCACTCCCTTTTATTAAGATCTTATTATGAAACAGTTTAAACTGGGTCAATGCAGGGTCTGTAAGATGAATGTTGAACTAAAGTGAATACAAACCTTTTTGTATGGGGCTGGAGAGATGGCTCAGCGGTTAAGAACATTGCTTACTCTTCCAAAGGTCCTGAGTTCAACTCCTGGCAACCACATGGTGGCTCACAACCATCCGTAATGAGGTCTGGTGCTCTCTTCTGGCGTGCAGGCATACACACAGACAGAATATTGTATACATAATAAATAAATAAACCCCAAATTAAAAAAAATGGGTTTCATTATTAAAAAAAAACTTTTTGTAAGAACTTCAGTAAAACCTCTGATATTTTTTTCATGTTTTTTATTTGAATGAGTTTTGGATGGATACTGGGTTTCCTTAATTTGTAACTCTGGCTTACCTAACTCTTTGCATAGGCTTTGACTGACATCCAGCTCAATTTAATTCATCTGCTTTTACATTGATTGCTGGGATTAAAGGCAAGAGTCAATATTTTTAATTTTCCCATCTGTTTTCTAGGTAATCATTGTTCTTACCATTTCTGTAATATTTTCTCAGTACTGTTGATCTGCTTGCTTGTCTGTCTCTGTATGTCTGGTCATTGGCATTTCTTTGTCAAGGCTGTATCCTATTTAAAGGGCCAAGGAATGGCCCATATGAACCTCCTCTTCAGTTCCCTTCTAAAGTGATTGGTGATTACATTATAATGCCTATGTCTTGCAAGAAGTGGGGAAGCAGAAGCATTATAAAAATATATCATTTTAAAAGAAGTATCCAATGTCAGGATCAAGCTTTGTTTCACTGTTGTTTGGATTTTTGTAGAATTCAGTGACCTATGAGGATGTGCACATTGACTTCACACAGGATGAGTGGGTTTTGCTGAATCCTTCCCAGAAGAGTCTATACAAAGATGTGATGCTGGAGACATACAGGCACCTCACTGCTATTGGTATGACTGTGAACTTTCCTTCTCATTTTTAAATAAGGAGACAACTGTGTATTATTTATTGATACTTTTGTATATTTGTGAGAAAGAGTAAGAATGAGCCAAATAACTAAGGCATAGTTCACTTAAAATATTCAACTTTGTACAATATTCATTAATATATTATCTACTTTCTGTTACTGTATTTTAGGCTATAGTTGAGAACACCATAATTTTGAGGAGCATTGTCAAAGTGCTAGAAAACATGGAAGGTAATTTTTATTTGCAATTTGGTATATATTTGTCTCTGGTGAAATTTTAATTTGTCCTGGAAAATTTAAAGACAAACAATAGTATAAATGAGCACAACTTAAAGTATATTGATGGTCATTAATTTCTCATAAAATCATATGTCTCAATATGAGATAACTGGTCTGTGTTTCCAACATATTCCTCTAAAAGCAGAAGAGAAGGAAAGGATTCCTTAACTGATACCACCATTTCAATCATAGCCCCATGAGAACTATGCTGTAGAGCTGCCAATCCATTTAGTTTTATTCCACTCAGATATTGCACAAGGAACACATATACACACATTGAATAGATAATAAGTATATGTTTAAAACTGTCCAAAAAATAGTCTGTAGTAAAGCCAGTGTTACTCATGTACCTGTGACTTTGTCAAACTTATTGAAAGAGTTGGTTCATGAGAGTAAAGCAGGCTCTTGTGGAGAAATATTAATTCCTATACCATATATCTGTGAGGAACAGAAAGTCAAACTGTATGAATTCAATGAACAACCATTTATTTCTTCTTCCTATAATAAGAATGTCATATGTCACAAGTCACCTTACCAAAATGGATCGAGGTCCTGTATATCTTTCAGAATAATGAGAAGATATGAAAGAAATTTAATATTTCAACACTGGGTAGATTTGTTGAATGTGCTGTAAGATTATATTTAATTGGTTTTCAAACTTTTTTGTGAAGACACCAGCAAACTCACACTGAAGATAAGCCCTATGAGTGTTGGACTGTGTACTTACTTTTGTTTTATCCTAGTACACTTTCTTGTTGTAGGTATTCCACTACAGGAAAACATAAGAATGCAAAAGGAATGTAAGGTTATTTAAAACTTATTTAGTCTAGTTCCTTTCAAATATGTAAAACAATCTCATAGAAAATGATTCTATAAATGTGGATCATTTATTAAAAGACCTTTACTATCAAAGGTTCTTCAAAGACACAAAGCATCCCATACTGAAAAACAGCACCATGCATGTATAGCTTATAATCTGATTCCTCTTTACAATTAAACGAAATTATAAAATTAATAGATATTAAGACTCATCAGTCTAATGTATGTGGTAAAACTTTTACATGTGCCAATTATCTTTGCAGGTATGAAAATAACCATAATGGAGAGAAACCCTCTGAATATACTCAATGTGATAAAGCCTTTGCATGTTTCAGTCATCTTCAATGGCGTGAAAAAATTCATTCTGCAGAGAAGCCATATGATGTTATTCAATATGATGAAGCCTTTGCAGGTACCAGCTGTCTCCAAATACTTAGAAGAACACATACTAGAGAGAAACCCTATGAATGTAATCAATGTGGTAAAGACTTTTCATATGTCAGAATTCTTCAGGTTCACAAAAGAGCACATACTGGCGAGAAAGCTTATGAATGTAATCAATGTGATAAAGCTTTTTCAAAACACTCCAAACTCCAAATACATGAAAGAACACATACTAAAGAGAAACCCTATGAATGTAATGAATGTGGTAAAGTCTTTGCAAATCAATATCATCTCCGAAGACATGAAAGAACACATACTGGAGAGAAACCCTATGGATGTAATGAATGTAGCAAAGTCTTTGCACATCAATGTAGTCTCAAAATCCATAAAAGAACACATACTGGAGAGAAACCCTACGCGTGTAATCAATGTGGTAAAAGCTATGTAAAATTCAGTAGTCTTCAAGTACATCAAAGGATACATACTGGAGAGAAACCCTACACGTGTAATCAATGTGGTAAAGGCTATTTACAACTCAGTAGTCTTCGAGAACATCAAAGGACACATACTGGAGAGAAACCTTATCCATGTCATCAATGTGATAAAGCTTTTGTGAGTCGTGGTGACCTTCAAAGACATAAAAGAAGACATACTGGAGAGAAGCCCTTTGAATGTAATCAATGTGATAAAGCTTTCTCAGAGCACTCTAAACTCCTATGAATGTAATCAATGTGTTAAAGCCTTTTCATATGTCAGTAGTCTCCAACTTCACAAAAGAACACATACTGGAGAGAAGCCATATGAATGCAATCAATGTAATAAAGCCTTTTCAAAACTCAGTAGTCTAAAATTACGTAAAAGAAGCCATACAGGAGAGAAACCCTACGTGTGTAATAAATGTGGTAAAAGCTATGTAAAATTCAGTAGTCTTCAAGTACATCAGAGGACACATACTGCAGAGAAACCTTATGCATGTCATCAATGTGATAAAGCTTTTTTGAGTCGTGGTGACCTTCAAAGACATAAAAGAAGACATACTGGAGAAAAGCCCTTTAAATGTAATCAATGTGATAAAGCTTTCTCAGAGAACTCTAAACTCCAAATACACAAAAGAACACACACTGGAGAGAAACCCTATGAATGTAATCAATGTGGTAAAGCCTTTTCATATGTCAGTAGTCTCCAACTTCACAAAAGAACACATACTGGTGAGAAACCCTACATATGTGATCAATGTGATAAAAACCTTTTCACTGAACAGTAATCTTCAAGTACATCAAAGGACACATACTGGAGAGAAACCTTATCAATGTAATCAATGTGATAAAGCCTTTTCACAACTCCGTCATCTAAAAACACATAAAAGAACACATACTGGAGAGAAACCCTATGAATGTAATCAATGTGGCAAAGCCTTTACATGTTGTAGAAGTGTACACATCTATCAAAGAACACATGCTGTATAGAAACCTACAATTTTAGCCAATGTGGTAGAGCCTTTGTATGTGTCATCAGGCTTTAAAATTTTGAGAAAAAATCATACTGCAAAGAAACTCTTTTTTTTTCTTTTTTGTTTTTTTTAAACAAGGTTTCTCTGTAGCATTGGAGTCTGTCCTGGAAATCACTCATAGTCCAGGCTGACCTTTACCTCACAGAAATTTGTCTGTCTCTGCCTCCCAAGTGCTGGATTAAAGGGGTGTGCCACCACATTACAGCCTGTCAAACCCTTTAGGTGCAGTCAGTGTGGTAAAGTTTTCCTCTTCTTGGTAGTCTTTATACAAGAGTAAACTTTTAATGAATAAGAGGTCTATTAAGGCCTTTGCATATTACAGTAATCTGAGGACCTGAGAATATTCATACTGAAGGTAGTATGACTATAAATGTTTTGGAAATATCTTCAGACAACACACATTTACTTACATATGACTGGAAAGAAAATAAGTCTATAAGTGTCAAATCTGTTCAGGCATTATGAAGTCTCTATTTTGTTTGCACCTGAAAATTATATGGACCGAAGTCCTGTAAATTCAATGATAAGGAAACTCTTTTTGATTTTGCACTTTTCTTCAATTATATAAATACACTTATCTGTAGAAATACTTCGTTTTGGGAAATAACCAAGCTAGCTTAAAATAAACAATTATATTTTTTACTAATCATAAGGGGAACCTCATGCTACAAAATGTAAATTCCAAGTTCCGCTGTGTCCTGTGGGAATCCCTCATAGAGCAAGCACCTGGTCCATCCCAGTTTTTCTCCTCGGGGCCAGGAAGCCACTGCTTAACTCGGTTCCACTTTTTAAAGATGATTGGTTAACAAAGCTTACCCCATCACCTCACCATTTTGTCTAAACCAGGTTGATCCAAACCCAATACAACTGTATATAAGAGGAACAGATACCAAGTATAAAATTACAAACAACATAAGCAATATTAAGCAAGGAACACATGACAAATGTTTTAACAAACATTCTATCTCAAGGGGTCTAAATCTTGCATCTGAAATAAGTTTGACTAATTCTTGAGAAAGATAACTATGGCTATCTATTCTTCAGCTGCTTTGAAGGCCTAAGAAGGTAATAATGTTACTTGAGCAGGCAAGAAGTTCAATCAAGCAGCTTCCAAAGCAAGCAATATATGATGGAGACAACTGGCTTTCTGAGCAATCACCCAAAGTCTCATTTGTAATGTTGAAGCAACCAACTTTGGCTAAGTCCTAACATAGCTGACAGACCATTTTCAGAGGCAGGAAATTTATTTTAAAACTGTCTTACCCTATCTTGGAAAGATTTGGAAGTCTTTTTTCTTGTGTCCCTCTTATTCATTCCAGACACCATGTACTTTGTCAGTGATTGAGGTATGGGCAGTTCCTTGCCCAAAGGCCAGTTTTGCAAAAAAAATAAAAAAATAAAAATAAAAAAAAATAAAAAAAGAATACACTCTAAGTGAAGTGTCTTTGTTGCTCAACATTCTCTCTGGAATAGATTGGTGTTGTCAGGAGCAATCATGTCTCATGTCAACAAAACCCTAAGTTATTTAAATGCTGTGTTCCACACATCCTTGAAGTGGTTGAAGTTTACCTATCTGGACAGAATACAATCTCTATGTATCTAAAGAACCTAATTGATCTGACTGTATGTAGAACAAACATGAACAACTATTGACCTATAATCATTACCACCTGTATAACTTAAAGACTAAAATTTCATGTCAGAATATTAAATAATCTGTAAACAAATGTGCAACAATAAGGACAATGACCTCAAAGTGTAAACAATATAAGTATCTTGATCAGAGGTAGAAGTAATATACAATGCAATATGAAACTATATCCTAAAAGATGTATCAATATACAAAATGTCCTAAACAGAGATAAGAACACACATATATACAATCTGTCAGAATAACTTTGCTTAGTTGTACAAATAATGTAAACAAAATAGCAAGTATAATTTGAACTTGTAGCAATATACAAAACTATACCAATGTAAGTTATCCATGAAGAACTCACAAGTATTCACTCTATTACCCATTATTACTATCCCCCCCTTTTTTTTTGAAGAAACATAGTTTTCACCCCAACCCTTTATCTAATATAAGTAATAATCAGCAACTGCTGAACAGTGTTCCCAGCCCTTTGGACCAACTCTTTGGGAGGTTGGGCATCATCCTCTAATATTGCTCCCCATTGGCATGGGGGTGATGTTCTCTTTATGAGATCCTGCAAAATTTACTTACTTAAATTTTGGGTAAGTTTCAAGATTACTGTCTAGCATAGTTGTAAAAGATTTCCAAGCAGTCGATAGGGTTTTTTCCCAAAGTTCTTATTTGGAGTTCTGCCCAGAATCTCATGAGAGAGTGCACCCTGTCAGCAGCTGTTACCCAAAATCTGGTGTTATAGTAGTGATATCAGTATCATGATGTCATCTCAACCAGGTGGAATTGTTACTATGGGACCCAGTCTTCTTCCTGGAAACTTCAAAGTTTACTGTAAGAAAAGGATCTGTAGTAAAGTCTTTTGCTCATCAGGGAAAGCTTAAACATTATTCATAGAGACATACATTCAATAAAGAATAAGATATAGACAAAATAGACATGGAGAAAAGAATTTTTTCTTCTGTCTTATACCAGATGGCTGCTGATATGAGACAGAAACTGTGAATGTTCCTTTTAATAACATGCTTGTATTTAGAGAAGTACAGAGCCATTGTCCAACTTCAAAGCAAACTCTATATATTCATAAATATATATTTAAATGTATATGTATTGGGTTTGTTTAAATGAATTATTAGATCAGGTGTTATCCCAACAGCTGGTCATAGACTGGAAATGTCTCCTAATAATCTTTAACAGTCATTAAGGGTCTGCAACTGGTCTCTGGTAATTTGTGCCTTTTGTTTTCTAATTTTCTGTAACCTAGGTAGTTAAGAACTTGCCTCTTTGAATCTTTTCAGGAGCAATTTGTAATTGCCATTTAGTCAAGACTTTATTTACTTCTTCAAACACCTGTTCTAAAGTATCTGTATTTGAATCAGATAACAAAATGTCATCCATGTAATAGTAAATTAAGGAAATTGCTTATGTATTATTTCCAATGGCTGGCAGGTAAAGTAAGTATTGGCACAGGGTAGAGCTACTGAGCATTCCTGTGGAAGGATAGTCTATTGCTATTTCCTAGTAGGCTGATAATTATTATAAGTAGGCAATATAAAGGAAAAATTTTATCTATCTTTTTCTTGTAAAGGTATAGTGAAGAAACAATCCATTAAATAACTATGAGAGGCCATCCCTTTGGTAACAGAGAAGGCAAAGGAATTTCATACTGCAGAGGGCCCATAGGTTGAGTAACCTTGTTGATAGCTCTAAGATCTGTCACCATTCTCCATTTTCCTGATTGTGTCTTACCAACAAATACAGAAGAATTCCAATGGCTGATAGATTCTTCTATATGTCGAGCATATAGTTGTTCTTGTACCAGCTGTTCTAAAGCCTGCAACTTTTCCTCAGCTAGAGACCACTGCTCAACCCATATTGGTTTCTTAGTCAACATTATTAAAGGCAGGGCATTTGGTACATCTGAAGGTTTATCAATTACTTTGTGTTTTTGTACAGCCTGTATGGCCAGTGTCCATCATCTGTAATATCTTCTAATATTTTCCTCAGAAACACAAGTTTTGGGTCTGTAGGAATGCTAATCTGGGTATTCCATTGTTGCAATAGGTCATGACCCCACAAATTCACTTCAATATTGACCATACATGGCCTTACTCTTCCTATTTGCTATTCCTTCTCCAGAGTGCTGAAACTCTCTTTTAATAAATTACTATCACTCTGTACCATTTCCAAACATATCTCAGTTGACTGAGTCTTGTTAGTTAAATTCTTA